CAGAGTTTCTTTTTTGTGGTTCAACAAAAATGGACAACTTCTTATAAAATCTTGATGTAACCTTAAAATGTCCTTTCTTGGTTCCTGTGACTTTTGTCTGGTGACAACATAGGTACAGAATCCTTTCCCCCCACTTCTGCTTAGTAGCTACTCTGATGACTGCCATACACTCGGCCTCCGTGGCACAGTGGTTAGAGTGCAGTACTGCAGGCTACTTCTTCTGACTGTTGGCTGCCTGGTATTTGGCAGTTCAAATCCCACCAGGCTCAAGGCTGACTCAACCTTCCATCCTTCCAGGGTGGGTAAAATGAGAACCCAGATTGTTGGGGGACAATATGCTGACTCTGTAAACTGCTTAGAGAGAGCTGTAAAGCACTATGAAGCTGTATATATAAGTCTGCTATTGCTATCTTTAATTTTTAGCATTTCCATAGTATTACAGATTGGAAAATCCCCTATGTTTCATTTTTTAGATTTTTGTATGCCAGCTCACCAGAGACATTTCATAGGGCATGATTGTATGAATTACATAAATTCATAGTTAATGAATTAGTATAAAAAACAAAGTGTTCAGAATGTTCATATTTTCATTAGAAGAATTGTATCATCAATCAATGAGGTAGAAAATAGGATTGCTTTAATATTTTGCAACTTCAAAAGAAGATCAGCAAAATTGACAAGAAATAGTACTATTTAACTCTCAGGTTGAAAATAGGACTGCCAGGTTCCATAAAGTTGAGAATTTCCTTACCTTTAATGACAATTTTGACACGGGTAGCTTTTTACACCACAATGTGATTGAAAAGTTTTCTACAGAAACCATGGCTTCAGCCTCTTATAGCCTCTAGCTATTGAAATTCAAGAGCATTCATCTGAAAGGAACCTGACAGGCTATATTGTTCAGGGTACTTCCAAGCAAAATAGCACTCCAGCAATCTGATTTTCAGCTAAAGCAACTGGAAATTAAGGCAGTTGCTCTTAAATTAAGCTGCACTGCTGCTAGAATCACACTTATCTATCATAAGGGGACAAATTCATTTGTTTGTCAGTTTTTTTTAAAGAAGAAAAGGATGCTACTACAAGTATATCTACTGCCTTGAGAAAATGCTGATTGCTGGATAAATTTGAGAACAGAATTACAGCTGGATTTTATTTTACTGGAGTTCTAGGCCTAAGTTTTTAAAATACTCTGGGTGGAGATTGATCTTATCTCTGGTAGATAAAACAAAGAAAAAATACACATTTTCTACTACCATAGTGTTAGAAAGTACAGTGAGGCATAGATACAAGGGCAATTGGAAAAACCAATTATTTAGAGAATTTATTAACAGGAAGGACCCCTGAGTTCAGGGATTGAAGTGGGGTCAACCACTACCTAATAACAGCCTTTGTTTTTCAAGAGGAAAGGCTAGTAGAAATGTTATACTTCAGATGAACCTGAAAATAATGGTGGCAGGAGGTAATGGTTAAATATAAATGTGTAAAAATAAAACAAGCAATTATACGTTGAAATGCAGTTTGGTGGGGAAAAATAACAATTGTACATCCATTAGGAAGCAAGATAAAATGCATAATGATTGTTTAAGTAATTGGATGATTTAAGTAAAAAAAAAAAAGTATGCTGGTGACATTCAGTTCTATTTCAGTGCTGGTAATGCCACTGGGAACTGGAGAAAAGAGAAAATATAAGTTTAGTTCAATTGGTTGATTGATTGATTGATTGATTATGTACTTTCTAATGTCAACTCTTAGTGATCATATAGGTAGATTTTGTCTAAAAACTATGTATATATCTGCACTGATATCCGAATGCAATAATGATTGAAACAATTGGATTAGAATTCTACTATGATGGAGATTCTATAGATTACTGATTCCTGATTAAAAGAATGGGAATATATATGTGTATGTGTTTGTTTCAGAAACAACCAATGTATATACTGGAATTGTTTGTAACTTCATGACTCTTCATAAAGGTTCCAAGTGCTACAATAAGCAACTACAGTTAGAATAAGAACTGTAGATTATACATGGATAATTTCATATTTAGATTTTATCTGGATTTTCTCAGCTAGCATTTCTTATTTATCTTTGGCTGAGCTTGAAAAGCCAAGCAGGATTGAAGCAGTTTTCCATTCAGTTTTCCATTGTTGCCTACTAGAATACAACTGGCCCTTTTCACACCTCTACCCCAACATAGCTGTTTATGTACAGTGAAGGTTGAGTATTTTCTTCTAAGAAAGTATTTTTATATAGAATTCTGCAGTTAAGAATCTTGGATCTTTTGCACATTATTCATAAATTTATAGCAGACTTTCTAAAGTATTGGTATTACCAAGAACATATTTATTAGGACAATAATCTGCTTTACTTTAGCTCATAAATCCTATTATAAAAGATTTGATAGAAAATAACCACTTTGTCCATTATTACAAACAGAATTGTAGATATTATTGTAAGTTCCAGCAATGTACACTGAATATTTTTAAATTTCCAAATCCTAGTATAACAAATTTGCATGGAAGTGAAAACAAGAGGAACACTTGATATAAAATTGGCAGGCTAAATCTCTAAATTGGATAGAGCCCATAATAATCTGTCTAAGAGGACCTAACAAAATAAAGCAAAAAATAGAAATAATGTCCAATTTTCCCTTTGGAACAGTTGTTGCCCAACTTGTTGCTATAGCAGTATGCTATAGCACAAATCCATGCATCAGTTTCAGTGTTCGTCAAACCTGTCTCCTTCCTAATACCTGTTTTCCTGAAAATATGACCTATCCTGAAAACAAGCCCTAGCCTGATTTTCACACCTGCTCCCTACCCAAAAACTAAGCCCTAGTTAAGCCCTGCCCACCGCCTGGTTGTACAAGGTGGGGTGATGCGCAGGTGTAAGAATCAAGCTAGGGCATGAGTGGCAGATGGAACTTGTACCCTCTTACCTTAGGACTGCTGCAGCCAGGCCTCCCATGCCCCGATACCTGTTGCACCACTGCCCGACTTTTTCTGCAGCTGCTTGCAGCTGGATCTCATGTGGCACATCACATCAGTGCCGCTGCTCATGGCAGGTTGCCACCTGGCTTGCCATACCAGTGCCACTTGCGGCAGAATGCCACAAGTCTCATCACACCAGTGCCACCAATCACTTGTGCAACAGCACAACACGCCATGCAACCTCCTGCCATGAGTGGCAGCACTGGCGCAACAAACCATGTCCTGCCATGAGTGTTGGCACTGGTGCAACGAGCCATGTGGTGTCTGGCCACAAGCAGTCAGAAAAGAAGTCAGGCAGTGGTGCGACAGGTGTTCAGGCATGGCTGCAATGGTCTTAAGGTAAATGAATAAGACATCTTTTGAAAATAAGACCTGGTGCTTATTTTGGGGCTGAAAAGAAAATAAGACAGGGTCTTATTTTCGAGGAAACAGGGTAGTACATTACTACATTAAAAAAAAACCTAGAGCCATTTTAAATAAAGCCATAGCATTCTATCTGGTGATAAGTGCACCAATAATATTTTACAAATCATTGATGGCATTTATTCCTAGATTGATGGTTTCTTTAACTCCCTATGTGTATCAACCTGATTATAAAGTTTTCATTTATACTAACACTTTCCAATATTCTGGATCAGTCTTTCTCAACCTTGTACATTTTAAGAACTATGGATTTCAACTCTGGAAAATGCTGATAGAAAAGTCACATGCTGATATTTTACTTACCACTTTATTGTTGCTGGGAGTTCATTTTTTCACAGGATTAGGCCCTTTTCAGTGGGGTAAAAGTCCCAGCTGAGCCTGAATTACATAGCATGTTTGCCCAATAAAACTTTAATGCAGCTGGGATATACTGTTAAGGGGAAGGACAATATACTGTAGCTTCTGCTATTTTGCACACACATTTTGAATTACATCATTTAATGAGCATTTAGTGTAACTATGAAAGACCATGCCCAAATACTTCAACCCTTTTATTTGTTTTACAATCTGGACATTAAACTAGCAACTGTACATTCCAGGTCAGTTTTCCTGAAGTTCTAACTTGGATCCTAGTCTTTTGAAAGGGAGGCATTGTTACAGGGCCTCCTATAAAATACACTAGGCAGAAAGACAGAGAAGTGTTTTATTTAAGCTTCAGGTCATTGTGTCTCATATTCCGACTTCGATCAGTTGCTGGATCTGGAGAATGAGATGCAACCCAATAGGTATCAGGGCTTTTTATAATTTCACCCAGCACATGGCAAGAGGCTACTACCAAAGCCATGAGTTTTCTCCAACTATCAGACTTTTCTTTTGCTGTATTTGAATAGTTTGTGAGTGTTTAATTTAAGCACAGGTGCCACAGCTAGTTTCTCTTTAGTATTAATTCTGTCCATGGCATAATTTGCCAACACCTATCATAGAACAATCTGTACAAGAAATATTATGAACGGAAATAATTGAGCCCTCTTCAAAGCAAACAATATTATAATAAAGTTAAAATAATCAATATTATATGTTGCGGTAAATAATTATATGTTTCAAGTGCCTTTTCTTTTTACATATATAGTTGCAATATTTAAATAAAAAGGACCATGGAACCGGGGCTTGCAAGAATATTTTACAGGGTATTTGCCCGTCTTTCCATTAGGAATGCTTCTGTTCATAGATCCAGGCAACCATTTTATTTAAGCAGAGCCTTCCATTCCCACCTATTACAAATTTTCTCTTTCAGTTTTCCAGTTGGTATACCTTGAATATTGAGCAGCTTCACTGAGTTTATTTTGAAGTTTGGGATGGAGGGAAGATTGTTTAAATGGAAGGCAACCTCTGTACATTCCCTAAATAAATATGCTTATATTTCCCACTTATTTTCCTATGAAATTTAAGGCTTTTCCTCCCAAACCGAAATCCGCACTCGAATGTGTAGTAAAAAAGGATTTTTTAAACACAAAATATGATTTAATTTGTATTTTGTACTGTTCTCTCTCTCCCTCCTCTCTCTGAATATGGGTTCAGCAGCAGCCCTGCTAACCAGCAGTCCAGAATTTTGGGTGTCTCTAACAAGGGTTCAAGCAGCAGTTCGAGTGAATCGGAGAGCAGTTCTGAATCTGATTCGGAGACTGAAAGCAGTTCCACAGAAAGCGACTGCAACAAGCAATCACATTGTTCCAGCCCAGAGGTAATAAATTAAAATCTAATCTTAATTTCTAAATCAGTGGAAGTTTTATACCAATAATATGTCTGGGACTAGAGAGTTTAATGTGGTATTTTGTTGAAATACTTTGCTTTTTAATATGAAAATGCCATTAGATGCAGCCAGTGGTGGGCTGCTACCGGTTTGGACTATTTCTCGGGAACCGGTAGTTCCAGTGAGCAGTTGGCCCCGCCTACCTGCCCTGCCCTTTCCTGTCTTATATTTCCCTGTTTTTAGCTCAGCTGATTTGTGTGGCACAGCAGATTGCCACGTTTCAGCTGTTTTACTCACCAGCGCTGACATAGAAGGTAAGCGTTTAAGCTTAAAATGGGTGGTTTTTGAATGCTGCGGGCGCGCGCAAAACACACATGTGAGCACAAAGCGCACGCTCACTGAATCGGTTGTTAAACCAGTTGCAGTCCACCACTGGATGCAGCACAGGATGACATTTCATGCAAGAAAAAAGACATTGAAATTAGTCTTTCCAGTCCCCATAAAGCTGTACGTATGTGAGTGTGAGATGTGTGTGTGTGTGTTTATGTAAATGTATGTGAATCTGTCCGGCACTTTGAGCAGGTAAGCATCATTAATGTGGCTGGCTGAAAGTTAACTGCATACTGAATGATAATCAGCAACACAATCTTAGATGTGAGCAGGTACATAAAGCTACTGCCACTGGAAGATGCAGGCATTGCAAAGAGACTTACAGACATATCAGTGCCTCAAGTAACATTAATTATAGTTCCTGTCTTTACTCAACAGACTGGAAGAGATAGAAGTATTGAATAATGCCTTTCATTAGTATTGGGAAATCATTGGATAATTCTTCTACCTACCTACAGAAGATTTCAGCAACAAATCAGAATCATTTCAGTGTAGCTATGTATTATTTTGTAGATGTTATTTATTCATCCATATTATTTAGAAAACACTCTTCAAAGATATATTGCTGAGGATGAACTTTAAGGTTCTCAAAAATATTTTAAATGTAGTAGATAAGCCAAAATAAAAATAGGCCCATAATCATCATTGGTTCAACCTGAACCATTTTTGTCTGTTTTATTTGGAGTGATTATTGTTACTTTACTAGTTATTTATTTCTGTAACGTAACTTTAAATCAGAAGGCAGCTGTAAAAGCCATAATAAGATATTTAAAACCTTCAAGTGTGTTATAAAAATGCATTGCAAGTGTGTCCAGAATCCATTTCTAGCATGCTACATTTCAATGCTTTAATCTATTGCTATTCTGTTGCCATATTGCAGGTGCATGACAGCTCATCCTGTTTATTTTTTTAAGCATCAGGAACTATGGAAATCAGGCTCTCCACTGACAGTGTCAAAGTCTGCAATTACACTGTATCTGTCTAGATCTAGAACAGGTGTGTCAAACTTAAGGCCCACCAGCCAGATCTGGACTGAGGGGTGCTTCGATCTTGCCCAGAGGGCTGCCCTGGAAACAGCAAAGGATTGGCCTGAGGTGCCTGTGCCAACAAAAACAGAGCTCAGGAGGGCTGTGCACCGCCCTCGCAGGCTCCATTTTCAGCCGCAATGGTCTCCTGCAGCCCTCTGCAAGCGAAAATGGATATCGGGGGGCACCGCACTCCATTTCCACTGGCTCTGTTTCACCAAGTTCCATTTTCACTGGCAAGGCTACAGGAAGCCATCACAGCTGCAGGACCCAGGGGAGCTGCACCCCTCCCCCCAGGCTCCATTTTTTGATGGCAGAAGGCTAGCAAAACAAACTAAGAGCAAAACAAAACAAAAGGAGAAATGTTTCCCGTCTTGCATTTGAGCATCCAAGAAGGAACAGGAGAAAAGGAAAGAGGAAAGACAAAGAAAAAGATGGGAAGAGAGCAAGGAAGGGGAAAAAAGGGAGAAGGAAGGAGAAGGAAGAAGGAAGGAAGGAAGGAAGGAAGGAAGGAAGGAAGGAAGGAAGGAAAGAGATTATAATGAGAGAGAGGGAGGGTCTGAGGAAGTCCTGCCTTAGCACCTGGCCACCACAGATGTCCCTGACATGAGTGTTGTTGAGCTGGCCATGCCCACCCTGGCCACACCCACCCTGGCCATGCCTACCCCCACCCCCCCAAGGTCAAACACAACCCTGAAATCAAGTTTGACACTCCTGCTCTAGAAGAACTGTGCATCAGCCCAGTACGTTCTATTTCATTCCCTCTAGCAGAAAGCAGAGACAATTTTTGCTTTGGGCTTGCAACAATTCATGTAATGTTCATGAATAGTCATATATAGGAAAACTGTAAGCAATTATAAATGGAGCAAAAGTACATGTGGTCCTAGACTTACAACAGTTCATTTAATGACCGTTCCAAGTTACAACAGCATTAAAAAGTGACTTATTACTGTTTTGCACACTTACAACCTTTGCAGCATCCCTATGGTCTCATGATTTACATTTGGATACTTGACAACTGTTCATATTTAGGACGGTTGCAGCGTCCAGGCAGTCAGATGATCCCCTTTTGCGACCTTCTGACAAGCAAAATCAATGGGGAAGCCAGATTCACTTAACAACCGTGTTGCTAATTTAACAACTTCAGTGAATCACTTAACAACCGTGGCAAAAAAAAGTCAGAAAATGAGGCAAAACTCACTTAACACATTTCTCACTTAACAACATAAATTCTGGGCTCAATTGTATCTGTAAGTCGATGACTACCTGTATCTAATCCTTGCAGAACTGAAGCTACTGATTGACAGAAAGATAATATGTAAGTTCAGCTGAATAGAAAACCTAATATTTTATATTCTTGGAAAGTTTAATTGTTTTTTATCTGACAATAATCAAATTTTCAAAATTGCAGTTTTATATGCTGCCATATACAGAATCTACAGTTCTTAACAGTATAAGGGGCTCCCTAAAACTTTTATGAGAAAAGCTTTATAATATATTGAGGTCCAGGTTTTTTTGGGGGGGGGGTTCAAGTGGCAATTAAGGCATGAACTTGGGAGATTGTGAGTTCTAGTCCTGCCTTAGGCACAAAGCCAGCTGGTTTGACAATGGGCCCTAGAAAGAAGGCAATGACAAAGCACTTCTGAAATATTGCCAAGAAAACTGCAGGGACTTGTACAGAGTCATCAGGAGTAAACTCTGATTTGAAGGCACCAAAGAAAAGTGTAACATGTTGTATGTTTTAAACTTTTATTTTCTAGCCTGAACAGCCGTCTCCTAACAAGTGGCAGTTGGATAAATGGTTAAATAAGGTTAATCCTCATAAAGCTTCTGCTTTGAACCAAAATGGATTGGAGGTCTTTCAGTATTACAGCAAAGTAAAAGAAAAAAGGCAAGACAATGAAAATGTACCTCCTGTTGGCCAAGCCAATCTCCAGGAAAAAGATATTAAGAATCTTACTAAAGAGGAACTGAGATCTAGGACAGCTAACTTAGCCCCCGGACATAGGGGAGCTAAGCAAAAACCACCTCCTTCTGCTGCCTCAAAATCGGTATCTAAAAAACAGCCAAGGAGGACAGAGAGTAGCCCGGCTGATGATAACGTAAACAACCATGCAGCTGACAATCTTGATTTGAACCAAATTCATTTGGCAAATAGTAACATTTGTAATCAGCCCAAGACTAGGCCTTGCAGCAGCAACATCGAACAACAAAAAGAACCACCGTCTGTTACAGCCTCTGAAAAGAGACGCACAAGAGGCTCAGGGAAAACAGCACCCAAGTCCAAGGAATTTATCGAGACAGAATCTTCATCTTCAACTTCATCGGACACAGATTCCCAGTCTGAACAAGAGGAGTGTCCTTCACATAAACCACAAACTGCAACTTCAGCATCCGCTGAAAGTGACCAGAAACAAAAGAATCCTAGCAATAATAATGGTTACAAAAAAAACAATAATTGTGGTGCCTTTGGTTCCATCAACACCAGAACTAGCAACGATATAGCAAAAGAGCTGGAAGAACAGTTCTACACACTGGTTCCTTTTGGCAGGAATGAGCTTTTGTCTCCTCTAAAAGATACTGATGATGTCAAAGCACTTTGGGTCAAAATTGATTTGACTCTGCTCTCCAGAATCCCACAGCAATTACCTGAGGAGCCACTGATGATAAATACAGCGGTTAAAGAAGCCATTCAAATGCAATATAACATTGCTGCTGATCTGCCAGCAGAAAAAGTGGTTCCTAAATCCAGAAGAAAACGAAAGGTAGGTTTTATATGTTGTCTTGAAAAGGAAATTCATAATAGCACCTACTGGATATACATGGGTATCTTGAGATATTTTGGGGCAGAGATACAAACTTTTTCTTGCATTACCTCAATTCATGGGAGTTGGGGGGAAGTTCAAAATTTGCAACATGGAAGTGCAGCATCTCAACTGAAGCCCTGCCTCTTTTGTATGTATGTGCAAATGACATAGTGCATATACAAGGCTTTGATTGTGACACCATGCTTGCCTTCTTGAGTTTTTGGCACCCCTGCAGATACTTCAACTGATTCCAGAGTTAAAGAGAATGAAGCCAGACCAGGCATGGTTTAAAATTTGGGTTAAGTCTACGTAATCTTAAATGTTCCATCTATCAGTCCTGGTAACTTTCTGTACTGGTTAAGGTTTACATTTCCTAAAAGGCAAAAGATCAACTACAGAAGCTTGAACATCTTACAAAAAGATGTGATGCTTAAGATAAAATCTGTATTTTTCTGCTTAGAATAAGGCTGTTGTCCTAGTCCTTTAAGGTAGAGTTCTTGTCTCACAAATGGTTTTTAAGAGCTGACAACATAACATGCAACCAGTTTGAGGAACAAAAGTGATTTCTTGATTGTAATCACTGGGAATATGATTATATTTTTATTTACTCTATCTAGCATTATTGGTTTTTGAACATGTATTTTTATTTATGTAATAAATTTCTATACTATGTTCTATGATATCACATTTCAGCATGGCTTACCACAAAAATATTAAACCACAAGGATATGCCAATGAATTAAAATAAGATTAAAAACACATTTATTAAAAGTGAGCAAAGTAAAGTGAATAAAATAATATTATTCATCTATAACATTCAAAGATTAAATGAGGAAAGATTTTTGTAGGGACGGAATGAACTTGCTGTAAATGATAATGATAAATGGATTTTGGAGGGCAGGATATATTTCTGCATCATCTGCTTTTAGAAAAAGATGCTAGTATCTTTTCAGGTAGATAACATTATTTTACCACTGTTCCTTTACCACCTGTTTTCATTGTTTTGGGAATAATGGTATTTGTGTATCAAAAGTAGAAGAGGGAAATTCCAACTATTGCATTGATCCAGACTAATTTAAACCAGTAATAGGAATTAACTTGATCCAATTCTGAACTCTCTTTACATATTGTTGCCCATTGTTGTATAATTATTCCAGCTTTACTCGTCTTCTCTCCACATGGAGAACTGAAGAGATTTCTATTTACGTGGAAGTCATATAGGAAGGGAAAATGACAAAATAAGTATCCTTTTTTATTTACACAATATAAGCGAGCATGTACAAACAGGGAGAAGCCTATATCACACTGTCACAACATCCATTGTTAAACAAAATCATTGGAAGATCCAATCTGGATCAGTCGCCTTGTCCAGAGATTTTGTCTTCCGAACTTCGGACTTGTGCTGGAGCCCATTTTGTGAACACCTCTGAGTCCCAACCTCACACAACCTGAAACTAAATTGTTTATATACAGTTATGTATGCAAAAAAATAAATAAATCGTATTTATGTGTGAATATTAAAACAGTAGGACAGAACAACTGCTGTTATATGGAAATCCTGGGTCATCTTCATCTGCGTAATATATCAATGAACTGGGCCAAAGCCTCTTTCCTTAAGAAAGAACCTAAAAATACTGGGTTTTGTTTTACATGCTTTTATTTTATTTTTATTTTATTTTAAAATACAAAATACAAAACTCAAAAAGAAAAAAAAACACATGACAATCAAAGCATTTAAAAAGTGCATCCAAAAAGAGATTTACAGATATTATCCCCTCTAGTTGAATACTGATTAATATATTACTACAACATAGTTCCCACCCCTTACGAGACAAGCCCTCCCAAAAACTTTTAAACTACTAAGTCTATTTGCAATTTGTTGACCTGTTTTCTATATGTTATATTTCTATATGCCCAAGTAGTTAACAGGAAAAACAATTTTAATGAAACAAAACAAAATTAAAGTTTCAAAACCCTCCATTAATAGATTGTTACTGTAATCCACTAGTACAAAATTTACCACAGCATCTTATCTATCCCAAATCATCCCAAAAGTTATAAACAAATTGTCCTGGGTCAAAGATCCAAGACCTTTTCTGTGTCTTCATCCACATCCAAAGATAAAGCTTTAGAGTTTAACATTTTTAAAAGAATCATTAAAGAATGATCAAGCTTTCTTGAGAGGACTCCAGTTAGGAGCTGCACATTTCCCACCCTCTTTTCTTAGTTTTCAGAGACTGTTCAGCCATCTTAATATGTGAAACTTAGCCAGGGAACAAAGAACACAAAAAGCCTCTGTATTTCAATCCAAGATTATAAGAAAAGTTTAGTGGAAATAAACTCCCAAGTGTTTTGCAAGTTCAAAAAATACAGAATCCAGTGGTGAGAGTCTGAGAATTCCTCACCACCAACCCTGAATGTTACCATACTTTCTGCATGCAATTAGAGTCCAGCACCGAGTTGAAATAAATCAGCACCCAGCCGTTAATCAACTTTTTAAAACAATAAGTAAAATAAAACAATGAAGGCAAAAAAATGAAAGTTAAAATTCCAGCATGCTTAGAAAATGAAACTGCTTGACAGGAAAATGGATACGCCAAATGACTCTTTGATCGCTTCCAGAGGGAATTGGAATCTTCAAGAACCCCCACCCCCACCCCTTGCCCACTGGGTCCACAATCAGTCCAAAAGTTGTTTTGGGTCACTCTTAAGTGATCCCATTCAAAATCGGAGAGCAGCACTGCCAAAGACCCAGCTTTAGTAATGAAATCAGCAGATCGCTGGTAAGAGAAAAAAAGAAACTCTTCAGGCATCATGAAAGGGGAGCATGATATTGTTTAAAATGAAAGTATTTATTTCAACTATGATTATAGTGAACAAGAAACATTGATAGTAAATGAATGTTACATTTCAGATTGGCATAAGTCGAGGCTACAGCATTATAAAACACCAACATAGGAGAACTGCTAGAGTATAAAAGTCATAGAGTGTTGTAAATTTGAAGATATACTGGGAGCTAAGGCTTGTGAGAAACAGTGACTCATCTAAAGTTTGTGAAATTGATCCAGTACTTCAAGAGAAAATATCTTAGTGAAGTGGGGGTCCCAGTTTTGCTCTGCTGAGTAAATTTCATTGAGGCAAATGCAAATTTCATCTGCATGATTAGTAGCTTGAAAATAAAAATGTTGATGACTGTAGGGATAGCCAGACAAACACAGTAAAATGCTGTCCTGTGCTCTCCATGAAAAGTAGCAGGTTTTGACAGATGGTTAAGCCCCTAAATCTAGCCATCTGCCACAAGTCACTTCTTCTCCAAATCCCTTCTGCTCCCCATGTTCAGGAGAGCAATTGGTGATAATTTTTCCTGCCAGCAGGTGACACTTGCTAGCGGGAGAAATGAAGCCAAGGAAATCCATCCATCACTATCCTTAACTTGTCCTATGTTAAAACTGTAAGGACAGCATCATTTCTCAGCCTTGATACTAAAGCAGAAGAGGGCTTGGCAACGGTTTTTATGTTGACATCCTTTTCTGCTGGCTTAAGGACCAGCGCATGGCCATTTGGCTGTGTCATTTGATAGCAGCTGTTGTTCCTGTGCTTTCTGCACCCAGCTGCAGACAACAGCAGCTAATGGTAGGGCATATTAATATGAATAATGACACCATCTATTTCTTAGTTCCCAGGAGGAAAAAGAGAGGTGATACACTGGGATATGTAGGCAAGTCTCTCCTTGCTGGAAGTGTGGGCCAAGGATAGAATTGCAATAATATGTTTATAAGCTTGTGTACATGATAGTTCACTAAGACCACAAAGTTTGAATGGACCTTATATAGAATCTTAATGGAGTAAAAAAAAAATCTCCCACAATCCACTTCCACTAAGGCATCTTAGATCTTACAATACATGCTTCATTTGTATTACAATGTTATTTTTGGCATGATGCAAAGACCACAAGTGGCTTGCTAAACCAAAAGGGAAGCTACAAGCGAATTTTCTTTGTAGTTTTCTTCATTATCTGGATTGGGACCTGTATCTGGAAAGATCCATAATCATGTATTGTTTTCCTCTAGGGCAGGAGTGTCAAACTCACGTCATCATGACAGTATCATGTGACGTATCGGAACTTTCCCCCCCTTTGCTACACTGGCCACGAGTTTGACAGCCACGAGTTTGACAGCCCTGCTCTAGGACAAAGGGGTTATCAAAAAGTCAAGAGAGAAGTCACAACTATCCAATTGAAATTCTACTGCTTTTTTATGTGTAATGCATGTAAATAAGAGGTAGGACTGCCATCTTGACTCTCTTTAATCATCCTCTACAGATGCCTCTGTTAGCTTTAATTATTGAGCTACAAGATTTGGTAGAAAATTAGCAATAACTTAACATAAGTTAATACAATTAACATAAAATAATAGTTAATTTCAATATTAATTATAAAACTTGTAAAATACAAGCTCTACAATGTCTATAATTTTGCACCAAAATACCATGTATATGAGGTGTTTTTTTCTGTTAGCATGAAAATGAGGAGGAAAACAGAGAGACTAAGAAGATTCACACTGAGCAAGAATGTTCCTTCAATGTACTTCCTTCAGCCCAAGTTATTTCTTCACCAAATCATTTCAAAATCATTAAAAAAAGGTATGTATTATCTAGCTATCTAATATTTCATGCAAAAAATGTTATTTAATATCAAAAGAATAAAAAGTTGTCAGAATAATTTTATGGTCAACTGCTGCTAATCTGGTTATAATAACTCAGTTTGATCATTATACTTATTTTTCATCACAGTTATTTTTCATCACTTTTGTTACCCATGGTTTTGTTCCAACTAAATAATGTCTACAATGAGATAATGGGTATCAAGGCCTGAGAAAACCTTTTTATGTATTCACAGAAATTCATCTGCCAATTTGTATATGTGTAAAAAAACCCAAAACATGCCTGGAATCATTGGTTACATGAAACGTTGTGCTAGAAATACCACAATCTGGTCAACATTTTCAAACTGTGAATAACTAGAATGTGCATAATGATATTGATGTAATTGAGTAATAATTGTGTTAAATTGGTTAATTAAAATTGCCATTTTGACATGAATTTTAGGATGGAACAGGATATTGTCAGAACTTGATTGGGGGTAAAACTATAAATTTAATAAATAAAAATATTAAAAATGTTCTAATCTTGTGAAATGACTTATATTTCCAAGATAATTTCATTTCTCATCATCTTTGATTTGTTAAAATGAAACTGTAATATATTGGGGTCTATGACAATTCTCCACAGCCAAATCATTATGGCCAACTCACCACAGCCAACTTGCCGCAGGACAGCTCTCCACTGGACAACTCATTGCAGGACAATAGTTAACTAATATCCAAGAAATGGTGGAATAAATATAGAAAGGGTGCAAAATGAGGAACATAATGAAATGTGAATGATTTTTTTTTAAAAAATATTTATTTTAAATAATTAAATAGAATTTTTAAATTGTCCTGCGGTGAGTTATCCCATGGCAAGTTAGCTGTGGTGAATTGGCCCATTCCCAATGTATTGGTATTTTTGAACGAGAATAGTGGCTCTTTCCTCTTAAATTTTCACCAATGAAGGTGGCAAAAAGAAATCACCCTTTTGAAGTATTGTTAAGGAATTCCTGTATTTCAAAATGACACTTCCTGAAGTAGGTTGATAGTTTCCTTTTGATTTCCTCAGTTGCTATGGTTCTGCTAGCAGTCCATCACATCAATTTATTTGTTTGTTTAAAAGACTTATATGGGCCTCCCATCTTATATGCCATAATTCTGGGCAGCTCTGAAAACAACAATAAAAACATGAAAACCATAAAACTATAACAAAAACTCCCCAATGGTAAATACTCTGCCATACATCCACATTTGATTCCACTGTGCCCCAACCTCACCCTACTCCAATACTTGACTTGGCTCATCAAGACCTTCTCAAAGGCTAGAACATGGAAGCCTGCCAGATCACAAGAGGAACATCATTCCATGAGGGAGCAAGAACTGCTATAGCAACTGGGTGCTATTAAATGATAATCAGAGATGGTATTCAGCAGGTTCTCACCAGTTCTGGAGAATCGGTAGCGGTAATTTTGAGTAGTTTGGAGAACCAGCAAATACTACCTCTGACTTGAGATTTTACAGTATCCTTCCCCTGCCACGCCCACCAAGCCACACCCACAGAACCGAGAGTAAAAAAATTTGAATCCCACCACTGCTGATAAAATTTAAGGGAAGGGCTTAAAGTACACCCACCTTATATGACTAGGTAGATTAGTGGACTCTTTCAGTTCACCAAGTATTAGATTAGTTCCTAATTTTAGTTCTATGATTGGAGTTCTATGCAACAATTCATTCTAACACCTTAGAAGCATCAGAATAAACTCAGTGCATGAAGAATGTCTTGTCTTCATGAATTAAAACTATTAATTAACAGATGATATGTAAGTCCATGAGGAGTTGGTGTCTGCCAGAGTGTCCAGATTGGAGTGATGAACTGATTTTTATTTAAATGCAGTTTCCTATCTTACTGTTAATTTAGGCTAAGATTTTAATGATGGTGTTGATTTACCAGAATCCATTGCAGAGTGTCTGATTTCATTCTCTTTCCTTATGTATCTTTCCCCATGGACTACAGTCCAAAGCAGAGACCAACAAAGACCCACTCCTGTTGGTAATGACACTGTGTAACAGCATCTAGGAACCTCTGTGTATTACAGCTTAAAAAGCGTGTATAAATTAAGGGAGGTCACAAAATAACATGATAAAGGAATTGTGTTTAGTATTACATGTGAAATCATAGCCATCAGGGAATAACTAGCTCAGCTGTGTTTCTGCATAGCCTCAGTCCTAATTGCACTAGCTAACACAATTGATGGACTAGCAAGAGATCACAGTTAAAAATTTAATTTGAGTGCTTAGAAATAAAATTTGGTAGTAGTAGAAATATTTTCTTGGGAAAGATAAAGTATGTTTAGTGGATATTATGATGATGAAGGTGATGTAGTTTGAAGTTTGCTCTCTGAAAAATTGTCTAAAACAATTTGGAAAAAAAAACCATTTAAAAAAACGTATCCAACATTAACAATCAGTAAAAGCAAACTATTTAGCCACTATCTTGGACTATAATTTGCTTTTTACAAAAAATCATAATGTTTGGTAGGTGTTTGTACATAACCCATTTGCTATTCCCTTTCAGTCTAAATAACATTAAGCAAAGCATAGAGAATAAGTTTAAGAAGTAGCAAAGAAATAAATGACACAAATTAAAGAAAAGACAATGTAATTAAATTTAGTTTACACCAATATTATTCCCTAGATTTCTCTATACTTTTGTGTCCTTTCAAGCCCCATCCTTCTTTCCATTGCATCCAAATACTACTTTATACACTGAATTTTGCTCTTTAAATGTAATAATAATATTGTCTTTAAGATATCATTTGTGCAAGAGCCAGAGCATCAGTTCCTCTGGACCTGGGGTTGCCAACCTTTTGGACCTCAGGGACCACCAAACTCATAAGTTTAAATCCCGCGGACCAGAGACCCTGGGAAAATCCCAAAAAAAGTCTGCAGGAAAATTCCCCACCCCGTTTTCCTCCCGATTAATCATTCTTTATTTGGGATCTCCAGCTCCGTTCTCGGGGGGGAGAGAGACTCTTTTGGCTTCATGCAAGTAAAGCAGCAGAAGTCTTTCTTTCTCTCCCCCAAACTCCATCAGAAATGAGTCTTTATGAGACTTGTCACGCCAGTGCAGTCTCTTGCAACAGGATGCCTTGCAGGGTCCCAAAGACTCGTTTCTGGCAGAGTTTGGGGAAGAGAAAAAAAGGCTTTTGCTGCTTTCCTTGAGTGTAGCCAAATGCAGAAGAAGAAAGAAGTGGAAAGAAGCAGCCCGGCGCATGGGGCACGTGGGGCGCATGGGGCACGTGGGGCAAGTTCCTTCTTCTGCCTTTCCCCCCTCCCCTCATTGCCTCATGTTGTTCAATGCAATGCAAGCGACACAAGCCTTGTGTTCCCGCACAGCCTAGATTAATTGCTTTGGGGGGGGTGCTTTGGGGGGTGACATTTCTCTGTGGATCACCAAAATTTTCTCACAGACCAGCAGTGGTCCCTGGCCCACTGATTAGCGACCACTGCTCTGGATTATGTAAGGAGTCTGAAGAAATAGGCCCTCTAAGGGGGAGAAAAAAGATATAAGCAGATAATTTGTAACAGGAGAGTATTGAGAAGATTATTTGGGCTCAGGGGCTGCAGATTGCCCCAAGATGCTTGTAATACTTAGAACTAGGACTATCAGATCTGGGCTTATTATTAAGTGTTGTACCTTATGATTCTTGACTCTTGATGAATGTATCTTTTCTTTTATGTGCACTGAGAGCATTTGCACCAAGACAAATTCCTTGTGTGTCCAATCACACTTGGCCAATAAAGAATTCTATTCTATTCTATTCTATTCTATTCTATTCTATTCTATTCTATTCTATTCTATTCTATTCCATTCCATTCCATTCCATTCCATTCCATTCCATTCCATTCTATTCTATTCTATTCTATTCTATTCTATTCTATTCTATAAAAGTCGACATTTAGAAAATAAATACACAAAGATCTCTTTGGTTTTATCTCATGGCCATCCAGTTTTTTGCAGTTTGGACCTGTATTAGAACATTTGGTTTATTTTTCTTTGTTGTTTTCATTAACTAGGTTATATATTTCTGTCTCCTTGGGTTCTGTATTAATAACAATAGCACTTAAACTTATATACTGCTTTGTAGGGCTTTTCAGCCCTCTCTAAATACAGAGTCAGCATATTGTCCCCAACAATCTGGGTTCTCAATTTCAGAAGGATAGAACCCTACGTCAACCTTGAGCTGGTGAGAATCGAACTGCTGACAGTCAGCAGAATTAGCCTGCAATACTACATTCTAAACTACTATGCCACCACAACTCCTCAAGTTGTTAAGTTATTTAAGTGCTAAGTATACCAAATACAGAGAAAGTCCAGCTCCCTATAAACACATATTCTCTGTTTAATCCATGTGATTTTATAAACAGTTACTTGTAACTGTAAAACAGTGTGTCAGGATTCCAGCAGTTGCCCTGATTTAATTAATGCTTGTTTTAGAGTTGCCACAGTGCTCCACAGCGTATATTTATTTTTAAAAGCCACATCTTATTTTCCAACCAACTTTAAAGCAAGTCTTCATTTCTATATAAATATTTTTAGTATACATTAACCATAAATTTGAAGCTTGCCCTAAAATAAAAGAGGAGAAATGTGATCAAATTTGTCCAACAACTTTTGGTACTCATGTTAAAACCTGTTTCCAGAAAGAAAAAAAATTAACCAAGTTCATCATGAAGTTATGGTAAAGCTGATAATGATCACAGTATATGCGTTCCTTATTCTCTTTTGACTGTCCATTATTGTAATTTCCATTTGTAGTTTGGCAACACCAATAAATAAAATGGAGAAAATGCTTCAATCACCTAGTTCTCCCTTCTCTGATGCATCTAAGTATAAATTCTGTAACGATAATTTAACTTCTAGAAAAACAAATGGTACCAACCCTTCGTCTTCCACATCCTCAAGCAGAAAGCACAAGAATGAAATTAGATCATATCTACATTCTGGAGATTTCAGTGTAAGTTCTGATCACAACATATTTAAAGTACTTAAATATCCATTTTGTTTGTTTATAACCCTTTCCATTTAGATCAGGAATTGTTAATTATGGCTAGCAAAGGAACAGTGGGAGTTGGTCTACAAGTCATTCCTCACCCCTGATTTAGATGGTTTGGAAAAGTCTTTCTTAGGGTCCCACCCCCCTTTAGAATTTGAGTATTGGGTGAGAAAACCTTTGAGTCTACTGGCATCCCAACTTTGTAGGCTGGCATTATTGTATACTATTTGGGGAATGGAGAAGAATGCACTGAAAATTAATTTTGTGAAAATTTGGCTGAGACAATGTAATGTGTATTTCCTCATTATCACCTTCTGTCTGTTTCTTTTGGTAAACACTCTTCTGATGTTGGGTTTATATTTCTACATTAAAAAATACCTTTATTTCTAAAGTGCCTTTAGAGATGTTTAGCTTATTACTTTACGGGTTCCCCTCCCCCCCAATTTAGAACTTAGAGGGCTGATTAAATATGGAAAAATACACAATATATTAAACCTGCTCTGTTTTGAATAATGGTAGGGCTGACCTTGTCATTTGGTTACAAGGATTGTTTATGGATGCATGTCCATGAGCCCTTCCTAAACTAGTACCCTCTAACTGCTAGAACTCAGCTCCCTTCATCTTCAGTGGAACTTAGCAAATAGAAGAATGGTACTCCAATCTATGTGGAAAATATACAAACAGGGATATGTTTACATTGAAATCTCATTTTGTAAAGCTGTACATATTTCACTATGATTAATCCTGTTCTTCTCTGAGTTCAATAAAACTTAAACTTCTTTGTAATCTTGCATAGAATTGTATGCTAAAATTCACAAGATTTCATTCAGGTTGTCATCTTATGCATGTATTATCTAGAAGAAAGTTTTACTGAATTCAGGTACACTTTTTTGATAGATCTATGTAACATAGGATTCCACTGAAAGAATTCTCTGAGCAAGAAACAGATATATACAGGAGAGATATCTACAAATGGACTTGGTTATTTATTTTCTCAACATACCGTTGGAAGGTTTATAAATAAATAAAATTATCCATGCTGAAATGGTATGGGTTATTGTTGTTGTTGTTCTGAACTGTAATTGTTTGCATCCATAAAAAATATTGCATAGGGCAATAGTTCCTAAAATGTAATAATACTTCTAAACTTGTTTACAATTATTGTTGATGACTGAATTCATGATTAGTTCCTGACTGTTAATTTTACTGTTTACTCAGAAAGCCATGTATATCAGTTCAGAAAATACTCTGTTCTGCAATAGAATACAGTGCCAAAAAGAACCATGGTCATCTATACTGACTGTGCCCAAAAACTGTAGGAAATCAAAACTCATCGTTAATGATGGGTAAGTTAATTGTTTCTTATGTAGAAATCTTTCCTTCTTTTCTTCCTTCCTTCTTTCCTTCCTTCCTTCTTCCCTCCCTCACTCCCTGTCTCTCCTCTCTTCTCCTCTCCTCTCCTCTTCCTCTGCTTCCAGCCTAAAATAAAATTATGCACTCAAGACAGTGTACCACAAAAATGGATATATGTGGACTTTAAGTGTACCTATAGAATTCTCCATGCTTGTCAGAAATGTTTTGTGTGTATGAATCTGAGCCTATGTGCCTGTTCCTGTATCTCTCTCTGTGTGTATGTGTGTGTGTGTGTGTATGTGTGTATACATTTATATACAGATTTAACATTGTTTTTAATGGCATAGGTTCTAGAACCACTACAACCATTGTAAAGAATTATTATGAAAACAGTACTGGAAAAAAAATTTTTAAATGGCACTTAAACATTTGTTGCAGTTAATACTAAATAGCTTTTAGATTATGTAAGACTATTGGGAGTTAGAGAAAAAATCTGGTAAGCTAGATTTTTCAGATTAAAATGATAGTAGTAAAATTATATCCCTATAATTCAGGTGATATACATAATGTTTTAATATTTTATAATAGGGTTTCTATTATTAAGCAGTGTCATATATTATGGTATCAGTGATTTTGCTGATAAAACTTCCAAAGATTAATCAGGTCAAACAATTTACAAACTGCATCTTTGTATGTATAAGACATTTTTGCTGCAATTAAATTATTGAGATTAGGCTCTTAGCCCTTTTGGTTTTCTTAAAGTATTTTATTTTATTCTCATTTTTGCTCCCATGTTGTTGAAAGTCTATAAAGATGATCTATAGAGAAAATATTTGCCTCTTCCCTTAGTAATTCTTTTATAGCTATAATTTTAAAACCAGGTAAATATCTTGAAAAATGTATCTTTTTTAAATATGAATGCTAAGATTTTGTGAGCTGCTTTGGCTCAAGGACAACAAATTTAACTATTTTTGTTCATTCAAGCTGGTTTCATTAAAGTACATCATGCATCAAATACTAAATTATTAGCAAATCCTTGATACACAAATACGTTAGATTCAGCAGAGGTTGTCTTGGACATCAAGGCGATCTGTGGCATTGTACAGATTATATTTTTAATATATATTTTAGTTAAACTTGACTATTTCCTTAAATTTAGTTGATTGGTATTCTAACCCACCAGCAGAGCTTATCTCCAACTGAATTATTTTTTATCCTTTAGGATATTATGTGGAGCTTATTAAATATGTCTATTTCCTCTTTTTACTTAAGTTGGTGTTATAATCACTGCTCTGCTTTAGTAAGTAATGTAAGAATTTTCCATGTAACAGAGTGGCTGGAGTGGAACAGAATTATACATTGATTATATTTATGCCTTGTTGAACATTTATTTTGTATTTCATTCATAAAATTTGTTAACTACCTTTATTCTGAATAACTGTGGATTGTAATGATAGCCAGCATTCTTTATCAAAACATAATGCAATTGCTTTGCTCACTGTCCCAATATCCTGGCCCAGAGCTCAAGAGAAATAAAGAGGTTTCCAGAGCAGCTAGCAGAATTGGGGCCATCCGGGGCCATCGGTGGATTTACTATTCCATAAGGCAGGTGTATGCTTTCTGGATCCCATTAGATAACATGGAGGAACTTGAGGCATAATTGTGGACAAGGTAGCCCTCAGATAACCCAGCTCTATTCTATGAAGACATGTATTGTGTGGATGGCAATCAATATGTTAAATGCAGAATGCTTACTGGGAGCCCGGTGCAATTCATTCAGTAAAGTTACAATAGGTACCCCAAGGTGCAACCATAACTATCATGCTGCTGCATTGTGTACCACTTGGTATGTGTAGCCCTGTGTAGAGTATGTTGTAATAATCCAGGCAAATATTTTAAGATATTTAACTTCAAATCTTAAATTGCATTGTAGCAATGCTATCAATTATGTTCTTTACTTTTAGAAAGTTTAGAATACATTTCTCATTTAAATTCAAAAAACTTTTACCAAAAAGGGATGATATTTTGCACCTTAATTATATGTTGTCTATGGTGTTTCTGCATAGTTTGATACTTTACTTTTGCCTAATTTTTCTATTGTTATTTGGAGTACATGAAATATTGAGCACATATTTGCTTTGGAGATACCATTAAGTAAAATGTTTTAATATACCATACAAGTATACAGCATATCATATGATATAGTATATCAAACTCATTTTTTTCTTATATTTTCTTTCATTCTAGATTGCACAATTTAGATTATTTTATGCAGGAAGCTAAAAGAAAAAAGCATAGAGCAGATGCAATGGTAAGAATGCATGAATTTCTGATACATTATTCCAATTTATCTATACAATAAAACTTTACTAATACTAATTTTTAAATCCCTCTGAGATAAGCATTTCTGTTATTAGCACAGATTTAAATATAATCAGATATGTAAACAATTATCCAAGATCAATTATCAGATACATTTGGGGTAAATTAAAATTTGAGATAGTCCAATTCTTTTTGAAAAAGTATTGTATGGGTATAACACTGCAGTGGTTTAGCAGACCCCATTATCAAATACATAAAGAGTCATTTGTAAATTAAAATGCTACAGGCCAGGCCTGGGATAAGATTTTTAGAAAGCAGTTTGATCCAACACTGATTGGAAGAGGAAGATAGAATCCTATTTGCAAACCTCAATTTGTTCTGTAATCCAGAGTTCCTCAACCTTTCCAGCTTTGGTGGGGGAGTGAGGAGAGGGGATGGTTCCATGGGAGCAGTGAGCAAGCGCACATGCACAGGTCCATTTGTGATAATGATGGGCACATGTGCCCATGCTCACGCAAATTGGGTCCGCAGGCAGGCACTTGCCCGCTGCTCACACTACTTCCGTGGCCCGTTTCTGAATGGCTGAAGGCCCACATAAATATCTGAATGGCTGAAGGCTGGGGGTGGGGGACCCATGCCATAAGCAATTGTGTATTCCTCCTCCTCCTCCCCTTGAATGGTTGAATAGAATATAGAATAGAATTCTTTATTGGCCAAGTGTGATTGGACACATAAGGAATTTGTCTTGCAAATTTTGTTGCAAAATTTGTCTTGCTTTTCGGAAAGCTTGCAAGACTAAGGGGAATTTGCAGTAATCACCTGTCATTCATGAAAATCTCTGCTAAACTCCCTAGCCGTTTGTGAATGCAACCACAGCATTGGATACCACCACTGGGTATATCAGCAAGCTTCTCCTGATATCAGTGGGCCTTGGTTTAATAATGCTGTGCATGTCTTCAGTACAATGCACATGGGAGAATTTCTTCCAGGGAGACAATAGCAAACCAATTTTGGAAGAAAAAAAACGTGCCAAGAAAACTGCAGGAATTTGTCCGCACAGTTACCAGGAGTCAAAACACTGACTCTCTCTCTTTCTCTGTCACACACAAAGAATAAAATTATTACTGATTAAATTAGAGGTGTTTAGGCTTCAAATATTTACTCTGAACTTTGCGCCCAAACCATATATAATACAAGGTCATATTTTTATAGTCCTATTTTTCTTTGCATTTATTTCTTGTGATCACTCTCATCTACATTTCCCTGTTTCATTTATAAATGCTACAGATCACCTTGGCTACACTGGTATACACTTCATATTACAACACATCAAGGCCTGAATTTGCTTTCCTTTTTTCATGATGTACCTTACTGAGCTAAAGTTAAAGATGCCCTCAATTGAAGCACATCTCCTGCAAACATCATCCATGCAGTTTTCTTGGCAGCACTACAGAACTGATGCTTTCATCCAGGGCATTTGACATCCCAGTCTATCCAAGAGCTCTGGAATTTGCAAATGGTCTCACAGCCAAATACTTATCACAGCTGACTGCTTAGCCACCAAAGTTAGTTAGGAGCTGCCACCTGGATCTTGATATGTTACAAAACTCACAATTGACCAGATATTCCTATCTTCTCTGCTGAGAAATCTACCACCTACAGATCCAGAATCTTAGATCCAGAATCTTAAATTATAATTGAAAGTTAGCATAAAATATTATCCTGTTCTGAAGCTGAAATAGTGATTTCATGGTTCAAATTAAATTAGATTAAGTAGATACTTTCTGATTTAGCAAGTACCTTAAGGGCAAAAATCTTATGCAAAACTTAAAATAATCCAAACTAAACCAAACATCCTTTTTTTGGCTATTATAAATATTCTGCCTCTTGTATAGAAGACATTAGTAAGAACTCATTACTACTCTAAAATAGATACAAGTACATTTATTTTGTCATGTTTTTCCCGCTGGTTTTGTCTTGAAGGTGGACAAATTTGGCAAGGCACTTAATTATGCTGAAGCTGCATTATCATTTATTGAGTGTGGAAATGCCATGGAACTAGGACCCCTGGAATCAAAGTCCCCATACACAATGTATGCAGAAACTGTGGAGCTTATCAGGTGCGTCTCTGACAATACTCCAACAATTGACTAGCTCTCGTGCTCATGCAGTATATAGGTAATCCTCGACTTATGGCCATTTTTTTTAACAACCGTCCAAAGTTATGACAGACACCCCAAAGCTACTTAGAACCCATTTTTGAAGTTTAAATGGCTGCATCCCCTCCCACAATCATTGTATGTTAGGCATTTGGCAACCAGATCACCTTTACAGTCATTGTGAATTCATTTATCCCCCAAAATACAACCAATTAGAGATATTCCTCTATTTATTTCTTCTTGACAATTTTTCTGCAACCTGATGAGGAAATTCGTCTTCATTGCAAATAATGAGAAACCTTGTAGCTAGAGTCACAAGTAACATATTTATAGTATGTTTGCAGAGCAAGGAGGGATATAAATGAGATGGGATTCTGTAGTTAAAAAAAGTTAAATACGGAAGGGAGCCTTGAACCTCATATGAACTTTGAAAATCTTTGAAGTGAGTGAAAGAATGAGAACATCTAGTAAAGTGTCATACAAAATACTATAAATGATGGTAATTATGAAGCATTTTAATTAATCAGTGATAAGTCACTTTGAGAATTGGAGCTACCTGAAAGAAATGATCAAATGTGATGAAATTAATGGGGGGGGAGCAGAAAGATAAGAATTTTATAGTCAAGGAAAATAAAAATAAACAGTGTCAGGGGTTATTCATCTAAGCTTCATGAGAGAAAAGATTTTACTATGCTTTGTTAAAGCTGGCAGGCAGACAGACACAGCGGTATTTTTGAAGAGTTCCCAGTGAAAGGAACAAGAGGAGGAAATGATAATGAAATTGATTAGCTGTGACAAGTAAAGGTTGCAATTTTAAGTACCCTTTGATAAACTTAAGTCCCACTGAGCTATAAAAATTTTCATTTTCTTTTTCTTTCTTTTTTTGCTTGCTTTCCTGACTTGGTTCTCCATCTTTTGTAGATATGCTATGAGACTAAAAACCCACTCTGGTCCCAGTATGACATCAGAAGAAAAACAACTAACAGCATTATGGTAAGTAAATTAAAATGCATTCAAAAACTTCAATTATTCAATCCTCAAAATGGAATGTTATAATAATTAAGCAAATAATACCAGATTTCACACTGCCTTTTGTCTGGTATTATTATATAAGATCGCAACCATCACCTTTAAATTTAGCTCAGAAACAGATTGCTATTTAATTCAAATAATTGTAATATTAACTTCCATCTAGCATTTTTATAGAATATTTAAGATAATTGTACTTTTTAACAACCGGTGGTTGTTATTAATACATTGGTTGTTACATTTTAGACTAGCTGAGTGTTTTTATAGACAGTCCCATGTCTACATTACAGAAGTTTTGTCTCAGTGCAAAACTGAGGTTACTTTTTATAAATAGGAGTAAAGTTGATATCCTTAACTAGTCAGTAGTTTTCCTTAAAAAAATTACAGGCTACAATAGCCTCTTTTATTGGTACAGAAGAATCTCTCATTTGAAATCTTAAATTTTAATAAATAAATATTTTCTTTGCTATAATATCTTCCATGTATCTAAGGGGCAATGTAAGTAAAATAATGTCATTCAACTCTAAAGTCCTATTTTGCAATAATTAAAAAAAAATCAGTGTTAAGTAAATCTGTAAATAACTGCCGATTGCCCATTGTGGATTCTCAGTGGCATGCTTCCTGATGAGTAAGCAGACATGATAGGAGTACTGTAAGTCAGTAGATTCCCAGGAGTAAGCACACTGAGACAGTGAGCATGAAGAACAAGCAGATGTTTCCAGGCTAGCAGGGAAGTTCTAGAGCAGGGGTCTCCAACCATGATGTAAAGCTGTTCAATACCACAGACAATACTGCTACCCTACAAAAAGATCTTGACTATGTATCTGAATGGTCAAGCAAATGGCAACTTCAAATCTCAACAAATAAATGCTCTGTCTTACATATTGGCAAAAAAAATCAGAAAATAAAATACAAGCTGAATAGTCAAGATCTTGTTGATGACCCAAGCTCTGTAAAGGACCTTGGAATACTCACCTCTAATGATCTAAGTGCTAGAGCCCACTGCAACTACATAGCCAAAAAGGCATTAAGAGTTGTTAACCTAATCCTACGTAGCTTTTTCTCTGGTAATATCACACTACTAACCAGAGCATACAAAACATTTGCTAGACCAATACTCGAATACAGTTCATCAGTCTGGAACCCTCATTACGTATCTGATATTAGCACAATTGAGAAAGTCCAGAAATATTTCACAAGAAGAGTTCTCCACTCTTCTACTCGTTGTAGAATACCTTATGCCACCAGACTTGAAATTCTAGAACTAGAAAACCTTGAATTACGCCGTCTTCGGTCTGATTTAAGCATGGTATATAAAATCATACATTGCAATGTCCTACCTGTCGATGAATACTTCAGCTTCAACCATAACAACACAAGAGCACACAATAGATACAAACTCAAAGTTAACCGCACCAAACTTGATTGCAGGAAATACGACTTCAGCAATAGAGTGGTCAATGTCTGGAATACTCTACCCGACTCTGTAGTTTCTTCCCCAAACCCCAAAAACTTTAACCTTAGACTGTCTACTATTGACCTCACCCCTTTCCTAAGAGGTCTGTAGGGGGCGTGCATAAGCGCACCAATGTGCCTACCGTCCCTGTCCTATTGTTTCTCTTATTCTTCTTTTATTTTTCTTATATGTACCCATTTCATGTATTCACAACTATGTATACACTTATACTTATTATCTTGTAAACAATTGGCAAATCAAATAAATAAATAAAACTTTGGGAGTTGAAGTCCACAAGTCTTAAAGTTGCCAAGGTTGGAGACCCCTGTTCTAGAGTCCTTAATAAATTTTGCCTCTAAGTTATCAGTATGCAGCTATTCTGAAAGTCTGACAAGGGAACAATGCAACATACAAATCAAAAAAAGGAGGGGCCACATCAGGTATTGTCAGAGCACACAACTTTCAATAAGAAAAAAAAAGTGTAAGGACAAGAGTGATCAACAGAAAAAAAAACCACCTTTAAATGCAAGTAGTCCTCAACTTATGACCACAATTGAGCCCAAAATTTCTGACAAATGCAATTGTTAAGTGACTTTTGTCCAATTTTATGACCTTTCATGCCACAGTTGTTAAGTGAATCATTGCAGCTGTTAAGTTAGTGAGATGTTTGTTAAGTGAATCCGGCTTCCCCATTGACTTTGCTTGTCAGTAGGTTGTAAAAGGTGATCACATGACTAGGCAACCATCATAAATATGAGCCAGTTACCAAGCATCTAAATTTTGATTATGTGACCACTTATGGTCATAACTGTGAAAAATGATCCTAAGTCACTTTTTTCAATGCTGTTGTAATTTTGAATGGTCTGTAAACGAACTGTGGTATGTTAGGGACTACCTGTACCTCAATGAAGAAACAAGCCATAAGACTTTAGGAGAGAGAGAAAAGGAATCAAAGGAGCATAGGGAAATAGATCCTAGGGACAGAAGGAATGCAGCTGGGCCCTACAAGAAGAATGAGAGCCAGTTTGGTCTAGTGCAGGGATCCCCAACCTTTTCGACGCCGCGGCCCGGTTCCGGCATCAGCTGGGCGCCGCGGCCCGGTACCGGCGTCAACTGGGCGCCGCCATCTTTTTATGACGAAAAGGCGCTTCCGGTGACGTCACCGGAAGCGCTTTTTTACCAAAAAAAAGATGGCGGTGCCCAGCAACCAGCGGCCCGGTAAGGCTTGTTCCGCGGCCCGGTACTGGTCCGCGGACCGGCGGTTGGGGACCCCTGGTCTAGTGGTTAAGGCACCAGGCTAGAAGCCAGGAAACTCTGAGTCTTAGGCATAAAAGTTGGCTGGATAACTTTGGGCCAGTCGCTTCCTCTTAGCCCAACTCACCTCACAGGATTGTTATCATTTTTTAAAAAAATATTATTTCCTTTATTGTCAGAGTACAACATGTGTACAATGAGATTGGCTGAACCTTCCTTCATGCATCACCCCCCCAACACAACTTACAGTGAGGACAGAAGTCCCTAACCCAATCCCAATCTTGTTTCACTATGTGACCTTGTTGCACAATGCGCCAGCCCCGCAAGGCTATCATACTACATTGACATGAAGCTATTTTCAGTTCAGAAGTCTGACAGCCCACAGGTAGAAACTGTTCTTCAGCCTGTTGGTGTGGCTGGCTATGCTTCTGTATTTCCTACCAGATGGCAGGAGAGTGAAGAAGTGCTGGCTGGGGTGTGAATCCTCCCTGAGAAATTTTCCTCACTCTTCTAAGGCAGTGAGTCCTAGCAATGTCATCTAGTGGTATCAGGGAACAGCCCACAATGTTTTGTGGGAACAGCCCACAATGTTTTGTGCTGTGCTCACCACCCTCTGTAATGTCTTTCTATCCGTGCCTGTCAAGCCCGCGTACCACACCGTAATGCAATATGTGAGGACGCTTTCTATTGTGGACCAGTCATAGGGGAAATAGAAGAAGAAACAAGTATTGTGTGTGTTCCTCACTTGCATTGTTTATAAAAATAATAAAGGTGGGATATAAAAAAAATAAAGTAAATAAAGATAAGAGAAGATATTTGATAGCTCACTATGTGGAATGAAAACCTTCCTATCCATTGAAACAGACTCAAAAAAAAAAAGAAACCCATATTCTGCAAATAAATGGCTGACCATGAAAATGATATCAGATATTTTATTTTGGGATCTAAATTATCTGGCTAAATAATTATTCAGTCAAGGAAGCTTTAATTTTAATCTAGCGGAGCTGAAAATCTGTATGTAAAAGTCTCAGACAAAAATGTGTGCACTGCAGAAATGGAAATATTTTAATGAAATCACTCTGTGAAAAATCATAAAGAAGATTGGCTCATAAAATTATGTTTTATTTATTTTACTACATGTGCGTGCTGTCCCACATTGCTGGGTAGCTTATAACAATAAAACACATCATAAAATCATCATAGACTTAAAATAATAGAAAATATTTTAGCAAGACACATATAACCACAAAAAAAAAAAAAAAAAACCAACTAAAAAGGCCATGTTTGTCATCCCTATCAGTGTGTCTTCCAAATGCCAAACAAAAGATTATCTTCACCTGAATAGGATTTTATTTATTTATTTGGTTTGGATCAAGAAGGACTCCATTCTGACTTTAGGGGAAAGAGAATTCTACAAAACCAGAACACCAATGGAAAAGCCTGGCTCTGCACTTCTGTGTTTTTCCCAGTCATAGAATGGGAAAAGTCTATTTAGAGAAGATGTTCCCTTAAAAAATCAAAGATTCAGCCAATAAAGAGATTTATATGTGATAACAAGCTCTTTGAATTGTCCTGGAAAACTACTGGTGGCCTAGGCAGCTCTTACAGAATCATGTGACTTTGTTAAACTGGGACCAACCCATTAACAGATGAGATGCTGAAGTATAGACCAACTGCAGCTTTGAGTTTCAGAGACAGTCCCAATAGACAACATTATAGTAACCCAACTGTAATGTGTAATTAAGGTGGTGAGGACATTAATAATTGTCTCTGGAGCATTCTCTTCCAGAAATAGCTGCATCTGATACACCACCCTAGCAGTCAGGGAGAACTTGGAGCAGATTTTAGGGGATTCCAAATAGAATTTGTGCATCCATAGCGTGCAAGCAGAAAGTGTCTGTTGAAAGTCCTTCCTACTAAGATGTCCAGTAGAAGGACATGGAAGCAGGAATTATCTGTGGAAAAACCCCTCCTTTGAAAGAACTTGCCTCCAGAAACAAAGCAGTTATCCTCCATTACAATTTTTCAGAAGTTTTTTAAAAACTGGTTGTTCTGGAACCAGAGAAATAGGATAGAAGATTGATAGTAATTTGTGGCATCATCTCATGTATTATTTTTTATCCATTGAATTGTGTTGTTTTATTTTAACATAGTCTGTATTTTATCATCATCTCTATACCACTTAGAATATACCATTAGTTAAGTAGTGTAGACGTTCCATAAGCAAGTAACTATAGCCACATGCACTTAGAAA